CTACCCCAGGGCTTCCCAGCCTGGCCTTCCACGCGTCCCCGTCTCATCCCCAGCAGAGGCCGGTTGGAAGAGGCGCGACAGGGCTGTGAGTCAGCAGCAAAGGTGATGCTGTCCAGCATCTCTCCCTCGCCTTGGCCGGCCCTCAAGCAGGACAGTGAGGGCTGTGGTCCTCCCACCCGTTTCCCCTGGAGGAACTCCCAAGGACCAGCTTCGTTAAAGCTACGAGCTCTTGAAAGACGCGTCCTCCTCCTCCCCCCCCACAAGTTTCTTTAATCTTCTTCCAAAGAACCATCATCAAAGGGCAGGTGAAGTTCAACTCTGTGGGAACAATGTTGTTTTCTTCAGAAGCCACTGCAGGATAGGGGCGAAGGGAGGAGGGCAAGAGGAATTATTTTATACTTGCTCACCTCTCTGAAATTGGTTGAAATTCCTCTTTTTACAGAGGAGGGACACCAAGGGCGAGAGAGGGACAATTAGCAATGAGCTCCTATGCTTTGTAGCAGCAAAGGCTAGGAGTTACCTTTGTGTTCTGGGCACGCTCTTCTTTTTGCAAGACCCCCCAGCCAGGGCATTTTAGCCTTCCAGGACACTCCATTGCAGAATTCAAAGTGGCCGTCTTGGAAAAAAGAAACTTTGCCATCACAAGTGAGCAAGAGATTGTTGAAGTCACATACAGCAGCAGGTTGGAGGCCATTTCTGAAGGTCTCAACAAAGGCGCACAGTGGGTTTTTAACACATTGCAATTGTTAATTGATAAAGTGCTTGGAATCTGCCTCACCTGTCACCTGCATCTACAGCACCCCCTGTCTTCCCCTCCTCGCCCCCCCCACCCACTCTCATCCCAATTTAAATCCTACACCAGTTTAGCCACCCCGTGCATCTGATGAACCAAGCTGCAGCTCATGAAAGCCTTCTGATTTTTGGCTAACGTTGCTCTCTTCCTACAAGGCCCCGAGTGGTAGCAAAAACTCTTTTTTACACCAGCTTCTCACAGCCCTGTAGTTGTATGCACCCTGTCTTCCCCAAGCCTCAGTCTACATAAATCCCAGTCAGCATGGCCACTGGCCAAGGTGGCTGGGAACTGGGGGGACTTTTGTCCAACACATGTAGACAGCCCCAGAAACCTAACCAAAACCCTTGGGGTGGGCTACTTGCTCAGTGTTAAACTATGTGCATTCCATCTCAAGAAGGTCATGGCAGGTGAAGCTTGGTGTCTCTTGTTGAAAGAGATTCAAGAGGTGATGGGAGGGGCTCATGTGCTGTGTGGTCCTGCAAAAAATGCTGCTGGTTTAAAGTGTTGCAGATATGGGCTACATTCATACTCCAACACACTTTTTGGATACCAAATCCATGCACAGCCCATTCCTAGTAGTCCATACTGGTCCAGATGGACAAAGAATGTTATGTACCCCTGTGGATTTCTGGCTCTTCTCTTCCTTCCCCAAAAGATGGTTCTTGTCAATTTGTAGAAGTGGATCATCGCACAAATCAAGCCAGAGTTCTCCTTTGAGGCATGCATGACCATATTTTGGACACATTAGGTGAAAACCCAGCTCTCTGCAGAATGCTGTAATGCTGGGAAAGGTGGAAGGAAAGAGGAGAAGAGGACGACCAGCAGCAAGGGGGATGGATTTGGTTACAGCAGTGAAGGGGTCACAGTTGGGAGACCTGAAGGACCACCTGAAGGACCAGGGTAGGGGCAGATTGTCATGGAGAAAATTTATCTGTGTGGTCACTAAGGGTCAACACTGATATGATGGAACATAATCAATCAGTACGAAGATAGAGCTCCTTTGAGAAGTCCATCATGCTGGGAAAGGTGGAAGGAAAGAGAAGAAGAGGATGACCAGCAGCGAAGTGGATGGACTCAGTAATAGTGGTGTTGGAAGACCTGAAGGACCTGGCTGGGGACAGATCCTCCTGGAGAAGGTCTAGCTACGTAGTCACTAAGAGTCAACCCTGACTCGATAGCCCATAATCCACCAATCTACTCAGAAGTACCAAATATTGGAGCAAACTTTGAATGAAATGGAGCTGGAACCTTTGGCAGAATTGCTTCCCCCAGCACTTGGTGCTCAGATCCCCAAAGCCAAACATATGGAAGGAGCCATGTCAGGAAAGGCTTTCTCTGCGTGTCTCGCTTTATGAATCTCTCCTGTGCAAGGGCTGAACTGTGGAGTCCTTGGGATTCTCTGAGCTTGGTTGTTTTCTTGCAAACGTTTTGTTACCTGGCTAGGTAACATCTTCAGTGCTAGGGTTAAACCATTTCAGCTCCTCTTGGAGGGTTAAATAATCATTTCCATCAATATTTCCTAACTTTTTGATGCACCCTGTAAGGCAAGTACACAGTTTGCGTGCTCTCATCGTAGAGTAATAACTGGATATCACAATCCTGGCCATTGTATTTTCAGACCTTTCTTTACTTTCTTTCTTGCTTTGTGATTTCTGTTGTCCTAGAGTTGGTCAACACTTGAGTCAATATATTCCTTTCATTTCTTTTCTGCTTCGTCATCAGCTCAGATCTCGCCATTGTGGACTTTATTTTTATTATTTTCTTCCTTCCTTGTGTTTGGAAGGATTTTGCTGTCCCTTTGCCCCGATGGCCCCTTTTACCCTTTCTTTGACTGGATTTGATTTACCAATGGCTGAATATATTCAGAAAATATATTCTGAATATTTGCAACATTCATTTGCATATTTGTGCCCCTCAGTGTGTGTCACCAAATTGGAGTTCCCTTGAAATGGCGAAGGGTGATTTTTCTCACGATCAGATTCAAACCTGCCAGGGGTTTGATTTAATGACACTCACTTCCTTCTTGTCCTCTGATTGTATGGACAAAGATGGGGAAATGTGGGTTTTCCCTAGCAAGCCTGGATTGACATCTTACTGGCAGTCATCCTCAAGATGAGGAAGTCTAAGGTTGGCTTAGAAGAGATATAAAGGTCCTGGGGGGATGCGATAGGCCCATTAGGTGATGACCAACGATTGCATTGGCGCAGAAGACAGAGCAGCTGTTCCTCCAGAATCCAAAGTCCCTTGAATCTTAGTAAGTAATTGAGATATTTTCAGGAGATTTGCGGTCAGGATTTCAGCCAGAGTGGTAGTCTGACCACAGATAAAGATTCAAGTGTCCATTTGCGTATTTCTTCAGGATCTTAGATGGAGCAGCTCCATCAAAGAGAGGTGAACTTTGAGATCTTCTTTAATGGCACAAAAGATGGACTTCGGGTGGGCCTGATCTCACAACATTGGGGATGTTGAGAATCAGCCCCCCAACCTGCATGCAGTGAATAGTTTGTATATCATAGATTAGAGCTCTGGAAATGACCCTTTTATATTCTCAGGTCTTTCCTTGAATTTTCAGTTGGAAGAGAAAAGGAGACCTTGTTAGTGTTATGGAGATACTTTCCAGAAAGAAATGTTCTTGTGGGGAAGGACCTCACCCTTCCTATCAAGAGGAGGGCTTGGATATTTGCAACCCATCTTGGTCCTATCCTGCAGCAGCAACCTTCTTAACCTCTAAAGCACCACCAAATATTCAAGGTTACTTAATAGACATTTACAATGATTTATGAGATCTTGAATACACATTCTTGTTTGGGAAATGTTGGAGTAGCTTCAGATAACCAGATTCCCCCAACATTTATGCTTCACGTTTGAAGGATTTAACGCTACAACATTAAGCTATTACAGAACCATAGTTGGAAATATATTATTGCTTAGTATTGGTTAAATATTACACCAATTTCTATATTTGTTCATACTCTGCAGTTGGACTTAAGATGGGTGGACTTCTAGGCCTGTTATCTGTGTGGCTTTACTGAAAAAGTATTAATTAGCTGATTGCTGGTGATCGGGGTGGGAGTGAGCTGAGACAAAGGGCCACCTCCTCCATAACTTGCAGTGATCCCCCTTTTTGGTGATTGGGACAATCTTCTCAAGTTATTACAAAACTATAGAAGAAATTGCATGTGTTACGCCCTATGGAATGGTCTATATTTTGCTCTCTTGTAGGAAAGCTATTTATTTTGAAAGGAGAGACATCAATTTTCAATCATGGATTGATAATGGAAACTTATAGGATAGTGGGGCACAAAGGGAGGGGGTAAATAAAACATTTGTCATTGTATCTTTTTTACAGCAAAGTTTGGGTTGAGTGATTTGCTCAGGAAAAGACAGAGCAAAAGGCCTTGCAGGGTGGACGGCATGCAGATAAATTAAAAAGTAGGCAAGTTGGCTATGAGAAAACAACACCCTCCCCCTGTCCCACCCCCCAAAAACAGATCCAGGCAGATTGTGTTCTGTTATTTGTGGATTTTTGAGTTTGGCAGAACCTTTGGCCAGTCAAGGCAAATTCCCAATTTAAAAACTGACTTTTAACAGATTGTAGTACACATCATGTCTCTTGCTTTCATTAAAGTATTTGACAAAGACCTTCAGAATAGTAGGCTAGTTGAGCATGGGCTGGACTACATGACGTGCTGGTTGAAAATGATCTACAGAGTGTTTATCTTGGTTCCGCATCACATAGAGGGTTGTGTTGATGGACTGCAAAACGATTCAGTCCTGGTTTTGTACTCTTCAAATCTTGTATTAAATCACGAAGAGGAAGATGAAAGGGCTGAGGCTGGGGAGGAGGGAACAAGAGGTTCTTTTTATGTAAATACATCAGAATTACCCAAGTCACCTGGTGATCTACCAATAAACCATTAATTCAGAAGGAGGGGAGGAAGAAGCCTACAGAAGCTAAGGTTGAGAAACCAGTGTTTCTCACCCTTAGCAACTCTAAGATGTGTGGACTTCAATTCCCAGAATTCCCCAGCCAGCACAGCCATTGCTGAGAACTCTGGGAGTCAGGTCCACACCTCTGGAAATGGTCAAGACTGGGAATTTCTGCTTAGGTAGTGCATTAGGACATACTGGAGGTCATGTCAAAGGGTTCTGAGTCACAACCTCTTGAACCCTCCACTCCTAGGTCTTTGTTATCTTCCTACCGTAGGGAATCCTGGTGACCTGCACGTGTAACCTGTACCTGCAGAAGATGTTCTGGCTGTTTGTCCTGCCGCTTTTGAGCTTTTCGATGAAATCGAGTGAAGGGGCCCATGGAGGGCTGAAATTCCAAATAACCCTGAAAGGGCTGGAATATGGTGCGTATCTCACTGTAGCCTTCACATATGGATAGGGCACTAGACTTAAGCAAAGTCAGAAAGGATCCCCAGAGAAAAACCCTCTCACTTCGCCTATCTGCAGATGGGCAATGACATCATATGCATCATGACATCATCAGCAAATGATGTCTTTATGTAGTTTGCATGACGAAGTCATTACAGTCTGATTCTAGCCACAGCCTTTGGTAGGGCCCACCTGATCTGGTGTAGACTCTGTAGCATCTGTGACCCTCTTCCTCCTCTGTGGATCCTCACTCAGAGGACGCCCTGACACTTCAACAGGCTATAGCGGCCTTCCCCAATGTGGACCTTCTCTGGCTTTACTGTGTAGCACTGACTAGGGATTATGGGAGTTGATGTCCAAAATGTTGAAGGGTTGATGGAGATACAAGGCCCCAAAGGTTGAAGGAAGCCACCTAATGGGGATACAAGGCACAGATGAAGGAAGGGGGATGGGATTAGAGGCCCATAATCCTTGCTGTTTGCTTCTGGACCCAGCACTGGCAGGGTTCCTCCTATTGATCTCAACCCTTGTTAACTCTTTACAGCAAAGGAAGTGGCGATGGAGATGTTGGTGTCACAACTACGGGAGGAGCAAATCCCAGACAAAAGCAGCCGTCACAACATGCCACTACTGGGGGATGTCCTTTTGTCTTTCTCAAAGTAAGAGCGTCTGCAGCTTCTTCCTCTTCCGCAACCAGAATGCCCTAAACTGCAGTGCTTCTCCTGTTTCCTCTGGTTTGATCTTCCCTTCAGAGGTAGACTTGGGATATCACGTGGATCTCAGATGGAGGCATAAACTGGGAATTATGGATTGGTAGGCAGGGGGAGAAGGACATCAAGAAGACCTGCCTCTCCCCAAAACAGGTTTCATCTGCTCATTCTTCCCTCCACATCCAAGCCCTTCTGTTCCATTGTGTGAAAGTTTCCACACAAAGGCAAATGAGCTGATACGTGGTCAAGCCATTATCAAATCCAGAAACAGAGGGAAACTATATTTCTCACAAGAAAAGACTGTTTCTAGCCCTCTAGCTAGACCAGATGGGAGGAAGAGAATCAAGAAACGGGAGCCCATTTTTTTATAAACAGAGCTCACATTTGACACACAGCAGTTGCTGAAATTCTTTCATAATGGCTTTATTGTTTTGCTACAATAAATCTGAGACTTCACGGCCTGGGAAAAATATTCTTGCAGTGTTTCAGGCAGGAAACATACTACAGTACCTGCTGATCTCTCTTTACCTTTGTCCTTTTTCATAGCATCCAAATTAACCAGCTTCAGGTGAAGGACTCAGCAGCTGGTTTTGTTGAGGGCAGAGGTCTCAAACTTGCCGTCCGAAACGCTGAGATTGTATTCAGTAGCAACTGGGAGATACAAAGTTCGTTTGGGTAAGTATTCTTGGGGATTGGTGTCTGAGGAAATTGAGCAAGTGGTAGAGTCCATGAGGCACACCTTGAGTAGAGTGCCCATAAATGCCAAAGTTCTTAATGGGAAGCCAAGCTATCCATGGCTTCTTGGGATGTGGGGTTGGGTAGGAGTCCTACTGGTGGTTTCATCAGAATCAAGACTTCGAAGTTGTATCTCCATGGTGGAGGGAACCCTGGTCTGAAAATGTTTGGGTTGCATCCCTTGTTGATGTTCCTCACTCACAGGTGGGAGGCCTTCATTTTTGGTTATGGCCTCAGCTCTTTGGGACAGTCTTCCCTCAGAAATTAGACTTGCTCTTTCTTTAACTGTGTTTCGGAAGACAGCGAAGAGTCACTCTGCAGTGAGATGGGCGGAGACAAATCTGAAATATAAATAAAAAGAATAAAATAAAGCCTCTCTGATGTCAGCCTTTCCCATATGGAGAACATTTGGAAATTAATTGTTCACTGTCATTTTTATTTTTCTATTCATTTGATCTTTGTGGAATAGATCAGTGTTTCTCAAGCTCAGCAACTTTAAGATGTGTGGACTTCAACT